ACAGTGACACACACACGCGCACACAGTGACACACACACGCGCACACACACGCGCACACACACGCACCGTGACATGCACACATACAGTGACACACGCAGATAGACACACGCACCCCCTGATGGTCACACCCTTCCTATGCTCCCATCCACTCCCAATGTTACCCATGTCTTTACCCCTAAAAGCACAGAGACGTACCCTCCCCCCACCTTGCGCACATCCCCCGCTAATCCAACCTCATTGGCTACAATACAGCCCCAAACACAAACACACAACAATACTCCCATCCAGATTCCCCACTCACTCCTGATCAGATTTAGCAAAGGCTGATGGTACAAGGACTCGGGGAGATCCAGGTTCAAATCCCACCTGCTCCAGAGGGGGATCGTACCACATCTGAACAGGGTGTTATAAAATAACTACAAGAACTGGGGAGACTGATTTCAAATCTGGGCGAGAGATGCAGGGGCGAGAGATGCAGGGGCGAGGGATATGAGGAAGAAAGTTATTGACCCTGCGAGTGGTAGTGACTGGGGGACTTAGGGAGAGCGTTGCAGATATGGAGAACGTGAAGGATTTCAAAAGGCAATTGGACTGAACCTGCAGGGTCATGGGGAGATGGGACTGACTGGATAGCTCCACAGAGAGCCAGCACATATCCGACAGCCCGAATGGTATCCATCCGTGCTGTAATGACACATCCAGAGCTGTGCGTGGAGGGAGGCTGTGGGCTAAAGTCAGACAGCGATGCCTCTCCTGGTTAACCAGCCTGCCCGCACCTACTACTTGCGCAAGAGAAGCCACTTGGGGGAATGAGCATGCTGCTCAGCTCCCTTCAGAGCAGATCCCGCCCAGAGTCACCACCCCCCCGAGAGGACAGGATGATACTTGCACGGAGTGACAGCTACAGGACTGAAGGGGGCAGCATCCTACCAATTCCAACCAGACGAGTGAACCAACGGGCCGTGTTCTTAAAGTGATTCAAGAACTGGGGCTTGGCCTCACCGAGGAGATCCAGGAGCACAAACATATCCTGAAACAGACAGATCAACAACTCACTGAGAAAGGGGCTAATTTCAGAGCAAGGACACGGGGTTAGATACAGAATAAAGCTCCCTCTACACTGTCCTCCCGCCATCAAACACTCCCAGGACACGGACAGCATGGGGTTAGATACAGAGTAAAGCTCCTTCTACACTGTCCCCATCAAACACTCCCAGGACAGGGACAGCACGGGGTTAGATACAGAGTAAAGGTCCCTCTACACTGTCCCCCCATCAAACACTCCCAGGACAGGGGCAGCATGGGGTTAGATACAGAGTAAAGCTCTCTCTACACTGTCCCCATCCAACATTCCCAGGACAGGAGTAGCACGGGGTGATAGACAGAGTAAAGCTCCCTCTACACCACCCCCATCAAACACTCCCAGGACAGGGACAGCACAGGGTTAGATACAGAGTAAAGCTCCCTCTACACTGTCCCCCATCAAACACTCCCAGGACAGGGGCAGCACGGGGTTAGACACAGAATAAAGCCTCCTCTGCACCATCCCCCATCAAACACTCCCAGAACAGAGACAACACAGTGTTACACACAGAGTAAAGCTCCCTCTACATTGTCCCCATCAATTACTCCCAAGACAAGTACAGCAGGGGGATAGATACAGAGTAAAGCTCCCTCTACCCTATCGCCACCAAACACTCACCAATGAGTCAATCAGTGTGGTACTATCGGTTGCCTCTGGGTGCTTGGTCCTGGCCATTAGGTCGGCCAGGTGACGCGAGCCATAGAGAGAGTCCACGGGGCTCCAAGTAACAAATGCCTCCTCCCCATCCAGGAACAGCAGCTGGAGAGTCAGGTCCGGTCTCTGTCCGAGCCAGACAGAGAGAGACAGAGAGAGAGAGAGAG